AGCCTGTAACTACGGGAACCCCAGGAAAACAGAGGTCAGGGCTGGAGGCCAAAGGCTGGGCGCTGGTGGGGGAGGGGGGTGGGGAAGCAATTTGTCAACAAGGAGCCCCTCACCCTTTGTTACTGTGGAAACCATCAGCCTCCAGAAACTCCCCCAGATGCTGGGACTGCTTGGGTGTGGTTTGCCTGTAGTTGGGGCCAAAGAAAAGACGAGAGGAGCATTTCCTTGGCGACCCTTGCCCCTCTCCCCCCCAGCCCCTGCAAGCTGGACCTCTTTCTCCTGGGCCTGCCCTGTTGGAGGGGTGGAGGGGGGAAGTAGGTGGTCTACATTAGCCATGGATATATCCTCATTCTTTTGACGTGAGGTTTTAGACCGAGTCTGGCTCTTTCTCCCCACCCCCAGCCCCAAGGGTCGGTGGCTGCAGAATGGGCAGGGGTGCTGGTGAGGTCTGCAGTAGGACTTCTGCTGAGCAGATGTGCGGCCAGCCCTGCAGCAGCTCATTAGCATAGATTTGTTTTGGAGACAGTTTTTGGTCTGTGGGCAGGAGAGTCTGCAGGTGGGAGGGCCGTGGCCTGGGTGGGGAGGTTGGGGTGGGGTGGGGGTTTGTAGCCTGGAAGGTGGAGCTGCCTGGCGTGATGGAGGGGCAGGCCTTTGGGGCATGGGCTTGGCCCTGTGTGTCCACCCCCTGGACAGTCAGTTCATGGCCTTGCCAGCGCTGACGGCCGAGGGAAGGAAGGAAGCCACCCTGCGGTGAGATGGGTCATGGAGTCACAGTGGCCTTCAGCAACACGCCGGAGCCGGACTGTCCTTGAGGGAATCTGCTAAAATGGACTTCCCCGGGCCATGCTCCCTGTTGTGGAGGGTGCAGGTGTGAGGCTTACGGAGGCAGAGCAGATGGTCAGTGGCTCCGTCTATAACTACTAGACTCTCCGCGCCCAGGCACACAGTGAGTCAACAGATGAGCTTGGGCCTGAACTTGTCCTTGGACCCCAGAGCGGGCGCAGGGGAGCCTGCAGAGCTGAGCGAGGCTGGGGTCTGACGCAGCTTGGCGGGCCTCCCAGAGCGACCTTGCCAGCCGCACCTTTCACGGAAGTCCTGGAAGTCCCGGCGTTCCTTCCAAGACCTGCAGGGACTGCCCCACCCTCACCGAGTCCCAAGCCTAGGGCTGTGGCCACAAAGGCCACACCCTCTGCACCAGCAGTGAGGACAGCCTGGCAGCCATGCCCAGCTTGCTTTCTCCAGGAGGGGGTTTTAGGGGGCTGATCTCTCCAAGACCCTGTTCCTTCCGTCAGTGGCCCCCGGGGTGAAGGTCTGAGTGGCCTCTTCCTCTCAGCTCCCACCCTGGCTAGTCAGTGTGCTGGGTAGTGCTCCACAGTTTATAAAACCCTTTCTGAGCCATCATCTCGAATGGTTGAGTTTATCCACTC